CTCCGTTTCTTGAATAAATGTATAACACGTTTTTGCATTCATCATAGCTCGACTAGTTATTTTAATCTTGGTTTTAATTCTAGAATTCTTTTTAATCGAAAAATAAAAATTAGGTAGATGTCCTCATCTATTTAATTTTCCTATAGTTGTTAATCTATTAATTGTTGCCAATCAATTGTGCCTAAATAGTCCTAAGAACCCAAAATAATCTTATTTTTAAAATTTATGCCTAAGTCATAAAAAGAAAAGAAAACTCCAAACATCCCTTAACTTTGAACTCGGCTCTCCCATGAAAGCCAGGACCCAGTCCATGCACCACCGTGACTGTCTCTAGAATCTTGGCTGTTGTTCCTCCACGAGCTCCCAACAGCAACCCCCTCACAAAACCTCAGCCGCCAGCCCTCAAACCTAGACCAAGTCCCCCAACAACTTCCCTCTTTCTCGGACTCCATCTCTCTCATTTTAGCAGCCTAAACGCCCCTATTTAAACTGGCAATAGCCCTCAACCGCCATCTTCATTTCCCCTTGCAAAGTTCACAACAAATATTTCAAAATACTCCTAAGTACCAAGCACATCTCAGCCGAGCATCGCCCATTTTCGGTGAGACCGAGAGGAGCCTAGAGTCACCAAGAGCAGGTGAAATAAAGAAGGATAAACTTGTTCAGGAAGCCAACAATCTTTTATAAATAGATAGAATTGGGAAAAAGAAAAGACTAATCACACTTTATATACTCTAAGCGTTAGTATATTTCCATACAACATTTTATACCACCTTAATGACTTGATCGTCAAAGGTTTAACATCGGGAACATCTCTCAGCGTCTTTGTAGATATCCAGGGAACAAATTGGTCAATGGATTGTAGAGAGCCAGTTCGAGGTGCTACTACACACAGTTAAGTTCCTTTTGAGTTTTGACAAATTTTAATGTGTGTAAACTTTATAAACCATGTTTGGATCCTTTTTGCGATGTATTAATATTGAGAGATGTTACGGTCTCGGTACGAACCATTCCGTCGTGGTTTGGAACCGCTAGATCAACTATCCCCGACAATTACATGATGATCTAACGGTTTAAAAAAGCTCGACAGAATGGTTTCGTAACGAGACCGTAGCATTTCCCATTAATATTATCCTTACTATCTTGCAACAAATTTGGGTTTGTAGATATACAAAGTAGTAGAACGGTGATAGAGTGTCCACTGATTTTTCCTTATACATCTTTCACTATCATAATTAAACAACCTACCCCAGAAAACAAATCTCTATCAGTTCAACATTTGCAAGAGACCCCCGACTCCAGTCCAGGCGACTTCACTGCTTCACTATCCGTCCTAAAGCTTGTCCTACATTCCCCACCGGCAGTGCTTCTGCAAATAGCTTTGGACTTAGAATGTTTGGTAAAATGGAAGATTTGTATTGATGTATTTGATTAACACGTTCCAGTTTTTGTTCAAGGTTCTTTCTTGTTCCCAGTTTACAGTTTTGGAAAATTGGGCTGCAGGCTTTTACTTTTCTTTTTGCTAACATTTTTTTATTATTATTTTTTTTTTAAATTTTGGACGGGTTGGGCCGGCCTTTTGTAGGTCCAACCCGCCAAAATACCGGTTTTTACGGGCTATAAGGGGACCCGAGCCGAACCGAGCCGCCTGTATTTCGCACTTTTTGTAGGTCTAGCCACAAACCAAGCAAAAGAAGTCAAATTTGCCAGGCCGCTCACATTTGTTGAATTTGGTGGATGGCTGCGCCGAATTTGTTGAATCAGAAGTGCCATTGAAATTGCACTCCCACTGTATTTATAGAGGGGGTATTCAGCAGAGGAACATTACACCAAGCGAGAAGAAAAAAAAATAGCAGTGACAACATTCAGTTTTTGGAGTGTTAGATTTTTCAGTGAGAGAAAAATAGAGCGTTTCAGTAAATCCTGTGAGTGTGGGAAAAATACACCGGATTGGGTATCATCTCTATTACTCATTATTTGTAATATGTGAATAGGAGTGAAGTCTCACTGGTTTACTATATTTTACATTTCTAGTGTAGAGAATGTGAAAATATATTGTAATTATTTTGATAATATATTGGAATTGTTCGGAGGTTGTCCCATGGTTTTTTTCCTCTTGGAGGTTTTTCCGCGTTAAATCTTGGTGTCCTCTTTCTTGCATATTATATTTATTTGGAATATTCTTAGTATGCTGATCTTCCACATCAAAAAGAATTATTCTTGTCTTGAGTTTTTAGATATTCTTAGTATGCTTTGGGGTTGCAGTTTAATTTAATATTCCACATCAGAAAAGAATTATTCCTTTGAGTTATTGAAATATATACTTATATAATAAGGTATCATATTTACCAAATTAAGTAGGTAGAAAAGTCAACGTAATTAATGTATTGCTATTTCTATCTAGAATTTTATTTAATTATTTAATTTATTTGTCTTATATCCCATAAAATCGGTTTAAGAAAAAAAATCTCATAACATGCAATAAGAAAAAAAAAATTACGTAAAATCTTTACTAAAATAAAAACGGCTTTGTTTATTTGTCTTATTCCATAATAACATCGATTTAGTAAAAAAAATCTCATAAAATCGGTGAAGTAAAAATTCTACGTAAAGTCTATCTATACTAAAGAAAAGGCAAATTCAAGATTACTTATCTAATTTCTTCTTATCTATACTTATATAAAGAGTCACACTATTTATCTATCTATACTTATATTAAAAGTCATACTATTTACCAAAAATAGTAGCAAGAAAAGTCAACTCACATTTAATGCATACTTTATTTAGAAATTTTTTACTATATGCATTAATTGCTTGTATATATACATTTTCTATTCAAATATGATAAAAAAGATTCTTTACTTAAATAATTTTATTAACTTCTGCAATGATTTTACTGATATATATTATAATTTATATTTGTCGATAGTATTTTTTAATTTTTATTTGAGTATATAAAAAACAAATATTTT